GCGTACAATGTATGCATGTACTACGGAATATCAAGTCCTTTATAACGATTTTAGCCTTACATGCTCTATAACTCGTGATGTATACACTTACATAATTTATAGAATTCTTTGTATTATCGATAGAAATTTCTCTGCGTGGAAATACATGTTTAAACTTCTATCGTTCAACACAAGTTAATCTAAAAAATGATTATATGATCATAACTCTAAAAATTTTAATCTGAATTCTTTTATTGATTCATCTTTGGGGATATCACCCACGTGACCTTGAAGTTTAATTAAAATTAGCGTTAGGACTAAAAAATTTTTTACCCTTTACACGTATATGATTAATTTCCTTATTACTGTAACATGTTACACCACATTTAAAACCCTCTATCTTAAAATTTTGATACCAAAATCATTATCCCTGCTCATTTAATGTGAACCACTTGTTTTAGAAATGAATAGGAATTCTATCTGGATTAGTTATTTGCTTCTTAGTTCGTTTTCTCTGAATTTTATTAGAATATTGAATAAGTTCCTGATCTTTGGCCCAAGTATTAATAATTTTAGGATTTACTCTAGCTTCTGCTAACTTCACACAGAATTGTGACTAGCGTGAGCCACTGGCAACTATTTCATTTTCATCTTTATTTTTTGGACCTAAGTCTAGATAATGGCCGAAAATATCTATAACATCACCAGCTGTAGTGCAGTATTTTGCCTTTTTCTCTATAGTAAGTTTCCCTTTTCTTTTGTCTAGCAGGAGAGTCTCTATCTGCTCTTTGCTAAACGGACGTCTTGATTGGCCAGTTCTTGCAAGGGCTTCTTTAACACACTTGCGGGCCTTCTAATTGGAAATCAAAGCATCAAGTTTGGAAGCATGTTCACGCAATTGTTCTGGAGTAGAGCTAGCCGACAAATTACAATTTTCTAAGAACTTGTCTAGGATCAAAACATAGTTATTAGTTTTGGATTTTCGAGCCTTCTGAGTAGTAGTCATATCAATAATATATAATAAGTAGTTGTAATTGCTATCTACTTATACATACGTAAAAAAGTTCAATTCGAAAAAAATATCCCACCTGGGATCTTCGATTATACAGCATTTCGAGAGATGTGACTGCTGAGACATTGCATTTTTGAATATCTATAATAAAAGTGAAGATGAAGTTTTGAGATTATTAATATCAAAATTATCTCATATGGATCGTCTATCCTGCCAATACATCAAGAAAGATGGTTCAACTCATATGGATCATTTATCTTGCCAATATATCAAAAAAGATGGTTCGATTTGTGGGAAAGGGTGCTGGCGTGCTTCAGGATGTGCTATACACTATAAAAAACGTTCTAAAAAATTATGTCTTATCTGCAATAAGTTAACCAATTCTTATACCGGAATCTGTAGCACACATGGTAGAATTTATGACCGTGCTTGGTGCGAAAATAAAAAAAATAAAACAGAATCTGATGTAGTTAAGATACTTAGCTGAATAATCTAGCTGAAGTATTATTTTCTTACTCTATAGAATCAAAGAGATCTTGAATTACTTCATCTGGCCTATATGATGGAAGTTCTGGAGCACCTTTATCTCCAAAACCAGTACCATTATATGGCTGGTGATTAATTCGGTATAAGTATTGCCAAACTTGTTGTCCTTTAGGCCCTATTCTTTTTTTATCACTTTTAACAGTATATTCGCACCAATTACCAGCAATTGCATTAATTGCTTTTATAGCTGAATGAAGATCTGGTGTTTCCTTTGCACGAGACTTAAAACCAAAGAGTAATAAAGATTGATTTTGAATTTCAATAAACCTTTCACAAGACCGTATAAATGATTCTGATACAGTATCACCAGAAAGAGTATGTTTATCTTCTATACCAGTAAAGCCTAGTATTTGAAAAAGTTTTCGTATAACTTTCTAATGATTTGCTGAATAAGTTTTACACAAGTTTTCTGCCACTGATTTTTCCATATTCTCTTTGGCTTCATGGCAGACCATTTCCCATTGTACATTTTTCTCAGTTTTCAATCCCTTTATTGCATTCTCCTCATCATGACCTTGCCTTCAGAAATAAGACAATCGTAAGAAATGCTTCCGAGCTTCAGGTGAACTAAAATTTTCAACAAATTTTCTATTGCAAATATTATTCCAATCCTCAATACTCATGTCTTTGCAATAAAGATTCCGCATATAAAAACGTTTAAGTGCCATAGTATCTGCGATAG